CTTTCCACTTCAGCATAATGATGTGAATAGAAGAGTCATGTTACTATCAAGAATGCCATTGGATAGTTATATAGAGAGGGTCCTTTTTACTACTGAGCCCTACAGGCCATGTGCTCACTGCCTCATCCAGGGTAATATCTCTGCTTATTGTCCAAGTTTGAAGTGCTTTTAAAATATGTTTTACTGTATATAAAGCTTTCTCATTTTGAATGTATTGAAAGAAAAATAATAAAACTTTTGCAAAGGAATCAAAACCACATGGACAGACCAAAAGGTAAAATTATAACAGCTCCTTTGTGCGGATACAGTCTTTGTCTATTCACATGTAGGAAGTTCTCACCATCATGGAAGCAACAGCCTGATAATGAAGTGGGTGTTGACCTTGAATTACACTTAGTTGCTTCCCATCTTTGCTCAGTCCTTTGTACAACAAAGTTAGAATTACATATAAGCAGTACACAGAGGTTAGATGAACTGAAGCATTAACGTTGCAGTCGCCATTTTTGTATCCAAATGTGCTGAGCAAACCCAGCTTCAATTTTGAGTGTTTTTATACTTTGCTTAAAAATGAAACAGGAAACATTAAATTATATTCTTTTACAGTAAAATAAATAAATAAATAAATAAAATACTCCTCCTTTGAACTGTCTAAGTAATCAAAAAACCAATCTGAGACTGTGCCATCACGTGGGGTGTGGAGTTCTATCCGGAATCATAATTAATATTTCGCACCTACATTGTGGTCTAATGTAATTAAAGAATGATAATGAATCCATATGTGGGACCTCTGGGGCTCCATGTTCTCCAGCCTGGGAATCACTGCCTCACACGTTAAATTAAAAGGGTGTCACGTGGGGTGTGTTCCCTGCTTTCCCACGGTCACTTTCCAAGATCAAAGGATTTGCGCGAGTAAAGGTCGAACAACTGCGGGGTTAAACGGCGCGTCAGCACGAGACAGCGGCCCAAATGGCACGCGTGGTCCATTGTGACACGGAGGTGTCAATGCAAAAAATGTAGGCTTCTTGCACGCTCCCCCTGCGGGGTGACTAACAAATGCAAAAGTGTGAAGTGTGAATAAGGAGGTGTCGGTATTCGCTCTAAGGAACAAGTTTGAATAAGATAATATGTATCAGAATTATAAAAGCACATGCAAGTGGTTTTCCGAAATCTCCACCAAAACAATTTAATATTTTCCCCGAACTTTTAATGGGAAGCAACGATGGCGCACGATTGAGCGTTTAAGTAAACGTGGGATAAAATGCAGTTTAACAACAATCAACCCCCAATCTACTGCGAATAGCGAATATCATATTATTCGTTTTACACACGTCAGTGCCTTCTCGTGAACTGTTTTAATCATAAAATAATAATAATAATAATACATTTTATTTGAAAGCGCCTTTCAAAACACTCAAGGTCGCTGTACACAGTAGAATAAAAGCAACATAAAAGCAAGAAGTTTACAGAATCATAAAAGCATAAGACATAAACAAATAAAATAGGAGAGGTTATGTGGGATAAGCTA